CACGGGAACACCAAACACTGCTGTAGGTTTCCCTTTGCACTGACCAAATATATGGTCCAATAGCAGATCCAATTGTATTTTGTATATTATTCTAAGAATAAATTATCCAATGGTAGATACAAGGTTGTATTTCATTGTCGAAATGTATTGTCCAATAGTATATCCAATGATATATTTTATTAGACAATGAAATGGTCCAAAAGTAGATACAATGGTGAATATTATTCTCAAAATATATTATCCAAGGGTAAATCCAATTGTGTGTATATTGCCTAAATATATGCTCCAAAAGTAGGTCCAATGGTTTATCCTTGTCAAAATGTATTATCTAATAGTGGATTCAATGGAGTATATTATTGCCCAAATGAATGGTCCAATAGTAGCTCCAATCATCTGTAGTTGTCCATATTGTGTGTTGAAGCTGTAGAAGAAGTGTCTTCATGCTACAGAACCAGCAGGGGGTCTCTGGTGCAGAACAGATCTCTGTCCTTTCTGCACAGCTCTGCTTTTGATCGTGTTGCTGCTGATCAAAGAGTAAAAGCTCTCAGCCAGAGTGGAAACACACCTGAAGGCGCTCACCCTGAAACAGACAGCGAGGGAAACCTGATGCTATCAAACACTGGGAAGCCATGTTTACACTCATGTGGACACACCTCAAAGAGGATTCAGCTCTCACTTGGTCTGTAAGGTTTTGATCTTGGTTTCTCGTCTGCTTTTGACAGACTTCTGTTTGAATGAACAGCAGAATCATGCACTGCCATCCTGATCAGGGTTGAACAAAAGTTGAACATGTTTCCTTTTCGCTCATAAATATATAGATATTTTACTTATTGGGATAAACCCCTTCAGATGCACCATCTCGTTTTCAAGGGGGTCCCGACAAGAGCAACAACTTACGGATATACAGGAACAAAAAGACAAAAAGCAAAACAAGACACACCACGTACAGTCTGTTAAGTAACATTCAAGTTATACATACAACCATTACAACCACTACAACCATTACAATCATTACAACCATTACAACCATTACAACCATTACAACCCTTACAACCATTACAACCATTACAACCATTACAACCCTTACAACCCTTACAACCCTTACAACCATTACAACCATTACAACCATTACAACCATTACAATGTGAGAGACAGTGGAGCAGACCAGTTTCATCAATACCAAGTGCAGAGCAGTTGAAAGTGAGATGATAATGTTGAAACATACCCAATGATGACAGAGATCTAATAGCAGCAGGTCAAGTATTACAGTCTGTCGGGGCTTTGAACATGAACGCTCTGCTGACGAGAGACTGAACAGAGGAATACATCTGGACAGAGTGTCTAACTTGATGACTGCTTTAACTAAGGGGGATATTTAAGATAAATACATTTAAATATCAGCTGGAGCCAATGCGTGTGTCTTCTTACATTTAATGGAGGCCATTTCAGTTGCTTATACATTGTGCAGTGATGTGTACGAGAAGGACAACCAAGAACACATCTATATGATATGTTCTTTAATATGACCTCTTTAACAAGGGTAAGTATTGGGAGCCGAACTTAACAGGAATTAGCACAAGAGGGTCTCTTTACCTCGTATGTTACTCCATATGTTATCTGCTGTGCTGCATCAGTTTGAGGCTTTCTGAATGTGGCTTTAGTTATTAGTAGAGAAGAACACTGGATGAACAACTCGTATACTCCAGATGAGACTCAACAGGTCTATTCTATCGGCCATGGTTTTCCCAAATGGTGCATCGCTGGTTTTGAAGGTCAAAGATGAACTCTTTTTTATTTTTTTGATGAAAACCGTTATTTGGAGAACAAGCCCACATTGTTTGCTTGACATAAATCTAAATAGATATCTTGCATTGATGTAATATCTTGTATTGGCCAGCCCTTAAGGTAGCTCATGATTTGTTTTCAGTCCTGATCATAAATCAGGTCAGTGGGTGAACGACTGTTCTCTAGAAGCACTGTTTGTAAAACTAAAACCAATTTCCAGTTCGGCAGGAGGGTCTGTGCCACCAGGACATCACCAAACATAGAAGAGAGGATTCCATCAGGGTTTTATCTCCACGGAGCTCTCAGTGTTATTATGGCTTTACAGCGGGAGTAGCAACCCTTTATTTCTCTGTGTTATGGTAATATCAGCCCTGTGTGAGTGCATCCAGTAGTAAACGGTAAATGACCTTTCCCCGTCTTTTATCTTAGACATGTGTTCAACACATGAATACAGATTGCCTGCCTGCTGCTGCTCTCATGTGTCTCTGCTTCCATCCCAAAGCCTCACACTGCTTTCCATTATCCAGTCAAATGCCAGTGCCAATCTTCTGTTTGGCACTATGGGAAAAGTGAGGGGCCCAGGTGGGAGCTCTGGGGGACGCCGGGCCGGGGGGGGGCAAAAAAAAGACCAATCCCATTATTGGGGAGTGAAATCATTTCACACAGATGTCTATGTCCCAGCGCTGGCAGGCGACAGGCGAGATAACCCTGCAGAGGAACATCAAGAGGAGACGTCCTCCCCCGCGGCACACACATATTAAGTGGATTTATCTGTGGTTATTAAACTGCTGCAGCTATAAAGACGTGTCACTTCCTTCAAAGATCAACCTGTTTCCTCTCTATTGATCAGGATCAGTAAATCATATCCAATTAAACCGTGAAGGAAGACAGTTGATTTGTGGGATCTGTATTTGAAGTTGTATTTACTTTACGGACAACCTGCAGCCCTTTGGAGGCGACTGCCAACTGCTGATTACATCTGTTAGCCCACATCTCAGCCAGAGAAATGAATCGATGGTCGGTGGGCGGATAGGAAAAGCTGCTTTTGTCTAATCCTGTCTAAAATCAATAACCACTTTTTAAACTGTACCATTAATGCATTAAGTTGATTGTCAGCTGAAGATAACCTCAACATTGAACAAGAGCACACGATCATGAGATTATAAGAACCACTAAAGGGATATGTTCTGCCTCTCATGAAACAGGAGGGAGTCAAAAACAAACAACTCCAAACAGTGTTATTCTTCCGGGGAAAATCATTTCATAATTGTAAGAGTAACAGGATTTAAGTGGAGCAAATAAATCACTCAAATGTGTATTTTAGAATATACCAAAAGCAAAAAGACTCCTGCAGGAATTGATGATCTATCATTTGTAAGTGTGGTACCTGCACATCCTGAACTGCACATCGAGCACAATGAACATCTCAACAGTCCTCCATGGAAATCTCTTTATTCCCACAGACCCTGTTTCAGGATAACAACCAAAAACACTCTCAATTACCTCTCTGTAGCCCCACCCATTTCCTCTTTATTGTCAGTGAGTGTGTAAAACGGTCCCATGTGGTCAGTGTGTGTGTGTGTGTGTGTGTGTGTGTGTGTGTGTGTGTGTGTGTGTGTGTGTATGTGCGTGCGTCGTGTGTGTGAGAGTGTGTGTGTGTGTGTGTGTGTGTGTGTGTGTGTGTGAGTGTGTGTGTGTGTGTGTGTGTGTGTGTGTGTGTGTGTGAGGGTGTGAGGGTGGGTTTGTGTGAGGGTTTGTGTGTGTGTGAGGGTGGAATACCTTTATTCGTCCCACAGAGGGGAAGAGTCTGTGTTTTTTGTGATGTGTGTGTGTTGGTGGTGTTTCTGATGTGTGTGTAGGGGGGGTGTGTGTTATTGGTGGATACCTCCTGGAGTTTCGGCCTCGTTGGCACGGTGCCCCCGCCCCCCCCCCCCCCCCCTCAGCGGGGGGCGGGCGATGTAGGCCAGCTCGGTACAACCATCCTCATTTAGCTTCATCAGAAACCGTGTCACTGAGAGGCGAAAGCAGGAGTTACTGAACACCTGGACCACGCCCAGCCCAGAGTGTACTGCCATAGCCTCTTTGTTCAGTTAAAGGCCTGATGAGTACTTATACGACCCGATACGAGCAACACGTGATGAGACGATATCACGACACAAACCGAGACAAAACCACAAAAAACGATACGAGACGAGTCGAGGTGTTACGCGATTAGACGACACTAGACATTATGATAACAGACGAGCCAAAGGATAAAAAACAATACGACACAATATGGTACGGGACGATACACTTTATTGTCCCAAGGAGTAAATGTATTACTCTGGCTAGTAAATGATAAAAGACATTAACATGTAAACAGTTTGCACCGACACACCCTCTGACATCACCTCTTCCTCCACGGCTTCATCGACTGAACCTCAGAAATCTCTCATTCCCAGTTTGTTCCATGGCTTGTTCCCAGCTGCAGAGGAAGCTCTCAGCTGTCTCTGGTGTCGGGGCCAGTTTCTTGCTCCCAGTATTGATCCGTATTGATCCGAGTCCCCCGCCTGCAGCTGTAAGCTAATTCAGCTGCTGCTTCCTCCGCTGACATTTTCATTGCTGTATCTCGGCTTTATTGAGTGAAACCGTAAAGCACTGTTTAATATAGCCTCTGGTTTTATACTGTGAGCACATGAGTCACTGTACCCTCTGGTTTTATAGTGTGAGCACATGAGTCACTGTACCCTCTGGTTTTATACTGTGAGCACATGAGTCACTGTACCCTCTGGTTTTATAGTGTGAGCACATGAGTCACTGTGCCCTCTGGTTTTATACTGTGAGCACATGAGTCACTGTACCCTCTGGTTTTATAGTGTATCGTAGAGGGACAGTTACAGCGGTGGCTCTTTCTCATGGCTCCTCACAGTCTGCTGAATCACTTATCTAAAGATCAACTGCATTGCGATCACGGTTTGATTGAAACTGCACCTTGAAACCACTTGAGCAGGGATTTACAGGCTTGGTTGTTTCCTCACTTTCAATGCGCTCGTTTAATTTCTACCATAAAGATAGGACAGACATTCAAAATCAGGATGGACGAGATCTTATGGCTTGAAAACCCCTGACTCTTCATCTTTAAAAATGGTGACTTCTCTAGCCATGAAACTCTTGTGATGAGACATTCTTGGTCTTAAGTTGAATACCTGGATGTGTTGATGCGTCAATAGGTTACCATGCGTATCCACTATCCACAAAACATACAAGGACTTATTAGGGTAGGGCTAGGGTTGCGGACAAAAATATTGAGAAAACTAAAAGATAGAAAATAGGAGATTTGTGTTTTATTTGCTGCTTTCTACTGCACAAAAACAATAACAACAACATATTTATATTTGCAATATTGAGATGTTCTGGGGCATCTTTTGACCTGCTTTTCTTCTTGAAGTTAGTTTGTTGTTCACGTTTTGGTTAGTCAATGGAAAGTAAAAGGGGTTCAAACAGTTCCTTGTGTGTGATTGTTATTTCATGACCTTGATATAACAGCTCTGTTTCCTTGATGATCGAACAGTCCTTTTAAAGGCCTTAACATAGCCTGCGTTGCTTGTATAATATGCATTGTGTGATGGCCTCATTAGTGTGAGTGGTGTGTTGCAGAGGTTCCCAGCATTGAACCGGTAGACGGGCTAATGATGAGGAAGGCTGCACCGTTCCTCATATCAGTTCATTTTTATGTGGTATTGATTGCTGCGCTGCTTACACAGGTTCTGTTCTAAGGTCGATGTTTACTTAGGACTATAATTGGATTCTCATAAATCCTGAGGAAGTGCAATCACCATATTGCACTGGGAAGCACTTACAGCGTGTGGCGAGGCAGGAGTGTGTCTTCAAAAGCTCTTCACAACTATAAATAATACCCTATCCCTGTAGGATGCTACATGTTGGTTTGTTGGGTCTTCTAGAAGTTTCAGAACATTTTGCTTCATTTAAATTTACTCAAACAACAATTTGAATGCAGGACTTTTACTTGATGCACAACCTCAATTTCTTGTAGACACGTCCATAGTATCAAGAGAAAAAGCCCCACCTGTTCGAAAGCACCCTGAACATTTAAATCTAATGAAAGAAAAACAAAACTCTTCCTATTCCTGTTCGCATCACTTAAAACGGGTTCGGCCTATTTGAAGACACGACACAGGGCTCGTGGTGTTCTGAACTTGTATCCTTTCGGTTAATTGCATTTCATCTAAGTCTCTATGCAGTGTTTTGTGTTATTATGTCAAGAGAAGAGGGGTTTCCTGCCTCCTGTTCACTTGCACTGAAATGTATCATCATCATAACAACCCCCTGTACGTGTGGTAGTAAGTGTTGTTAAAAAAGAGCTGAGTACTTATAAAACGATAGGAGACGACATAAATCAATATGAGACGATAAGACACGAACCAATACGAGACCAGACGATACAGTCCGAGATTATACAATACGAGCCTCCTGTTGTTTACCTGGAATGAAATGTATTAGTGACGCGGTTTGGTTTCTCCTTCATCTGGTGCAAATGTTCCTTGAGCTCTCTATTGAAGTCACTATACAGGGTTCGTGGTGTTCTGAACTTGTATTCTTATGGTTTATTGCATTTCATTTAAGTCTCTATGCAATGTTATGTGTTATAATGTCAAGAGAAGAGGGGTTAACTGCTTCCTGTTGTTAACTTGCAATGAAAAGTATCATCATCACAACAATCTGGTAAGGCTGTCCAACAACATCATCTCAGACCCAAACCATGAAGCTCTCCTTTGTGCACCAGCCAATCCTCACAGTAAACAAACATCTTGTGAAACGGTTCCTTGACCTCTCTCTTGTCTCTGTCTCTCCTCAGGTCCTTGGGGGCGCTGTATGGGCAGTGATTGTGGCCCCGGCGGCAGTCAGAGCCGGGCGGTGTGGTGCGCCCACTCCGAAGGATGGACCACCCTCCACACAAACTGCGACCAGAGCAAGAGACCGGACAACCAGCAGAGCTGCTTCAGGGTCTGCGACTGGCATAAAGAGCTGTACGACTGGCAGCTGGGGGCCTGGAACCAGTGCCTCCCCGTGTCCATGCGCAACGCTGGAGTTCAGCGACCCATCGTCTGTACCCGGGGCGAAGAGGGCATTCAGACCCGGGAGGTGGGCTGCGTCCTGAAGGCAGACGGAGAACCAGCAGAAGATGCAATCTGTGAATATTTTGAGCCAAAACCCCGTCTGGAGCAGGCCTGTTTGATCCCCTGTCCGCGGGACTGCGTGGTGTCTGAGTTCAGCCCATGGACGCAATGTTCTAAAACCTGTGGGATGGGACTACAGAACAGGATCCGCTTTGTTTTAGCGCCACCGCTGTTTGGTGGGTCGGCGTGCCCGAATCTGACGGAGTTTCATACGTGCCAGCCGGGGAATTGTGAAGGGGAGGAGAGTCTGTACAGCCTCAGAGTCGGACCCTGGGGGCTCTGCTCGATCCCGGTGTCCAGGCAAGCCAGACAAGCTGATAGACAACCAAGAGAGGAAGGAAAGGAAAGTGAGAAACCGTCCAAAGAGGGGGACAAACCGTCTAAAGAGGGGGACAAACAGTCTAAAGAGGGGGACAAACCGTCTAAAGAGGGGGACAAACCGTCCAGAGAGGGGGACAAACCGTCTAAAGAGGGGGACAAACCGTCCAGAGAGGGGGACAAACCGTCTAAAGAGGGGGAAAAACCGTCCAGAGAGGGGGACAAACCGTCCAGAGAGAGTGAGAAAACATCGAAAGGGGGCGACAAACCGTCCAGAGAGGGAGTCAAAGTGACCGGAGAGGGGGAGAAACCCAGCAGAGAGGGGGACAGGCCGCGCAAAGACGGAGAAAAAAGGTCCAAAGATGCAGACAAACTGTCTAAAGATGGACCCAAACCCTCCAGACCCAACAGGAAACTTGGCCGAGCGAACAGGAAACCGGACCGCCCGTCCCGGCAGGCGGACCGACCCAAACGACAGAAAAAGGCCAAAAACAAAGAGAAAAAGGAGAAAATTCGGGAGAAAGTGAGGGAGAGGTTGAGGGAGAGGGGGAAGGCGAAGGATCCGGAGACCAGAGAACTCATCAAGAAGAAGAGGACCAAAAACCGCCAGAACCGACCGGGGGGGAAGTTCTGGGATCTGACGGTTGGATACCAGACCCGAGAAGTGTCCTGCGTTCACAAGAGCGGGAACGTCGAGGCTCTCAGGTAAGAAACGTCCTTATGAGTCACTTTAGAGACTAAAACTTCGTACATTTTTATTATTTTCTTTGTTTTTATTGTGTTCCTGTTTGCTGAGGAAGGTATCCTGTGTTTTTGTAAGGTTGTCTTCACCTTCTATAGACGCTTGTCTGCAAAATAATTATATAAAGTACAGTAATGTTTATGTCTTCAGCAAGGAAACAGTTTAGCACCAGGTGAAATATGGATTAGGTAAAGGTACATTTTAAGTGTTGACAAATCAGTGTTTGAGTTGGTATGCCCAGGTGAGGGTTAGGGTTCGGTGTGTCAGAGATCGTGTGATGTCCTGCTGCCTGACATGTGTCTACAGTGGTAAACACAAGAAGACCTGTAAGACACAGGCTTTTTAGTCTTCAGGATATTTCTGATCCGACAGACATTTCAGCAGAACCACATCATTTAATGGTGCCCTATATAATATTAAGAAATCCCTAAAAGAATGAATCTCTGCTATGTGACAACACTAGGATTCAAGGAGTCAATGGTTTTATCATCATGTGCACAGCAGCTACACATAGATATGGCATGGAAATCTCAGGTCCCGAGCTCCTCCAACAATGCAACATGAACATAAAGGACATAGACAAAGGAAAGTGCAAATGATACGAGGTACGATAGATTTGACTAAAATAGTGCGGGTTATGTTGCTACACCAGTCTACTCTGGTTAAGGTTCAAGCACAAAACCACGTGGTTAGGTTTAGGGAATCATGGTTTGGTTTAAATCGGTTGATTTTCTAAAGTCAGGTGATTTTCTGATTGTTTTAAAAATAAATCATTGCAAACTACAGCCGTGCAGCGTAGAATACATAACTTGTATTGGACCATGCAGACCTTAGGCCCGCTCTGCCAATGCAGGAAATAGCTTGTCCTTTATCTAGTTTGACAAAAAGTAAATATGTAATGGTCGATGTTGTACTTGGACCTTTAGCTTTCCAAGTATTGATTAACTGTTACCAGGCTCCCTAACTTTCAGTGTGCTGTTGCCTTTCCTTAGCCTTGACCAATGCCAGACCATAGTGTATTTGCCATAACTGCAGATATCACCCTCACCTCAGCACACTGGGCATTTCATGTTGGTGCAGCGCATTTTGGCTGCCTGTCATTCCCAGTTCTCTCTTCTATCCGCTGTCCATTGATGGCATGTGTATATATATATATTTATATCCACTGGTGTGTGCATGTTATTGCCCTTTGAAGAGCGTGTGTTGTAAAGCTTGTTGACAGACTTTCTCAGGGAGGGGTTGTGTTGCAGTTGTTGCTGAGAGCTGCCGTGTCACGGCTGGTTGCACTCAGTCCTACGTGTTGTGTGAGCGCTCAGTATTCAATATGAAGTCCCTTACATGAAGGCTTGATGTTTAATTAGTGGGATTGTTAACGGTATCCATCCAGGATTATAAGGACACGGCGCGGGGCCTCAGTAATAATCCTCCAAACTCTTGTCATGAGATATCTTTGGTTTTAAGTTGAAAACCTTGACAACAATTGGATGTATTGACATGTGTTCTGGTGCTGATGAGCATGAATGACTTTGGTGAACCTTTTAAATGTTATCCAGCGCTGCCAATAGGTTGGTGTTTAATTAGTGGGATTGTTAACGGTATCCGTCCAGGATTATAATGACACGACGCGGGGCCTCAGTAATGATGGTCATAATGAGAATCCCTGTCAGTTTCAATTAGTGGCTGACGAGCATCACTCTGTCTGCTCACACTGGTCAGAGACGTCTCACTACATGTGATTCTGCAGCTCGGCCATGTGGCCTCTCTTTGTTCGGAGATGAATGGCCTCATTCTGTCTGGCTGTGCTCTAATAGAGGCCACTGAGCAGCGTCCATTACTTCCTGAGGACAAATCAAGGCTTGTGTGATACGTTTGCTTTTAATGCCTGGGAGAAGGTCAGGATTCATAAATCATGCAAACTCCACTCGTCGTGCAATCAAGTGGCATACTATATCTGCATGGGGATTTATATCTACTCTGGAATATGTATTTAAAAGTGAAGCACAAATCTGCTTTAGCCGCTGTCGCATGGACTCCATCCATATTGGAGGAGTGGATTATATCACAGGATGCACAGATGGCTAAAAGCTTCAAAGAGGCTTAGCTGATACTGAGGATATTAATGCAGACCAGAACACACAGTCAAGTTTGTTCACAGTTGAAGCGCTGTGGGAATTTTGAACTCTACCTGGTGGCTAATTATGCCCAAGTGTTAAGTGTTTAAAATGAGGAGGCACTCCATTGGGTCTTTGACAAAGAAACAGATTTTAAGTGGTAAGGCCTGGTGAGGACTGCCTTTGGATTGGGGGTTTAAGGGAGGAATGGACCGTTTGGTGTGGTATCAGAATCAAGTATGCAATCGTGGAATTAAGATTTCAGAAAATCAATAAGACAGATTCTTTAGGGCCTTCTGGTTGGATTACCTGGCTTTTGTTTGTTAGCATTGTCCTGTCTGCTGTGGCACACAACTTGGAAGAGATATTTGCTGTTCAGTTAAACAACAGAAGGTCATTTGTGTGCAGGTCATTTTAAAGAAACTCAGAGCTTTTCATATCATATAATGGAGTCAGAAACACGTCCTCCCCTTGGTTGGATCTAGGACAGTGTGTCTAACACCTGTGATTACGTAGTTTGGATGAAACTCTTTCTTGAAAACTACATCAAAGTGCAAACTCCATCCATCCATCCATCTTCTCCCGCTTATCCGTGGCCGGGTCGCGGGGGTTGCAGTTCCAGCAGAGAGCCCCAAACTTTATTTTCCCTGGCCACATCAACCACCTCTGACTGTCACTCAAAGTGCAAACTGTTAGATGTATTATCTTTAATACTTGATATGGCCATAATCATGTCCAGACCTTCTGCTTTAATATAAAAGGCTTTAAAGAGAGAAACGTAATGGCTGCAGGAACAAAACACTAAAAGAACAGACAAAGCTTCAGGAACCTCCAGAAGAGTTGAGGACCAACTGGAGCGTTGAAACTCATAGAAAAGAGAGGCAGTCTCTTCCATACGGCCCGTCAGCCTTTACAAACACACTGAGAAAAACAAGTGTCTTTGAACACATCAGAAACCCCATCATCAAACGAAGCCATGGCGCTGAGCAGCCACCGCTGAAAACACGGATAACGAACTGCTGGGTTTATAATGAACTACTTTGAAACTGTTTGAGTCACATCGGCAGACAAAGGGAAGCTCCGTCTACATCTCTGTAATCCAGGCAGGAGACGCTTGTTTTCTTCCTGTCTTTACTCCTGGGAGGCTTCTGTGGACTCATTTCCCTTCAAAAAATTTAATAAAACAAAACAAAATATTATCGAGTAGCTGTTTATTTTAGCCTCTTGTAACCAAAATAGGCCTTAACAAAACCAAAAAAGAAAATCACCTCCCTGTTACCTGTTTTTGGAAATGTAACCCCAAGATCATTCTTTCCCAATGATCTTCCTGGAGCTTGCTTACAAACCCTAAAGATATCCCCCAAAAATGTAAAATGTTTGAGTATTTCTGTTCAAAAACAGTGAATTTGATTTTGGATCAGATGTGGAAATTGGTTCCTGAGGTTTTGTTTTCCTGAAATGTCTCTCAGGGTTTCCGTACATTTCGTAACATCAACCTTAAAGTATCACAGCTTCCTCTCCTCTTACCGTATCTTGTTTTCTCCTCAGCTTCTGCTCCCAGGACTCTCTGCCAATCACCTTCCAGGCCTGCGTGATGACCAAAGACTGCGACGTCACCGAGTGGTCTGATTGGTCCGCCTGCTCCAAGGAGTGCTACGACCCCAACAGACCCAAAGGGGATCGAACCAGGAGCCGGAAAGTGAGCCAGTTCCCCATCGACGGAGGGGCCGACTGTCCTGAGCTGCTGGAGAAGGAGAGCTGCTCTGCTGGAGAGGAAGTGCCCCCCTGCATTGTGTAAGTACAGAGAGAGAGATATATGAATAAAGTACAAGTGTCAATATAAGACGAACCCTTATCAATCCTCAGAGCGTTTTAAAACTACGGTGGCAAACAGGTGCAAACCCCTTCCATCAGGAGAAACCCGCTGCAACTTCAGAAAGGATGCAGATATAAAAACACAAATGTTCCAAAACACATGGTAGAAAATGGGTTAAAAGGTGATGAAGTTTAAAATATATATTTCTTTGAAGATGACAGTAAAAGCATTCATAGACAAAACTAAAGTGGTCTAAGTACAGATCCCTGTGGGACGTCAAATATCAGTTAAAATGTTCTATCTATTTTACAAAATTGACAACACATGCAGCATTTAGAAAACATTCGGCAACTTGAGGAAACACGCTCTCTCTCTGTGTCTGTTTTGCGTCGGCTGATTTATTTCACGACCGATCTTCACACTATTACGAAAATCCACGCAGACAGCAGTCAGGGAATCGCTGTCCTCTGGGAATCACATTTGAAGACGCTGCTGGTCCAGAGTGCGGTTTCATGTTTACATTTCCAATGCATGTGTGAAACAAAAGCAGCATCTGTTGTGACTGCTGCTGTCTAGCTGTTGGCGCTTAACCAAAGAGCCAAGGGTGCTCAAAATAAATGTAAAAGATTGAGTTTTTAGTAAACGAAGGTTTTTGAGAAAGTTATTGGCAGATTCTGGAGTTTGACTTACAGTAAAGTCTCTATAGGTCTCTTTAAATCAGATTCATGGGCAGTAAAATCAGCCGTTAGCATGAAATCAATGAGCACGGACTGCTGCTCCTGTAGCTTGACGTACAGCTGGAGGCGAGGCTCTGATTGGCCCCATCTGGGCAACTCAAAGCCCCAAGATGCACTGCTCTCCCAGGGGCCTCGTTGTTCTGAGGCCTCGCTCATGAATCTGCAGCCTTTCATTGTCGACCTCAAATGAATCCCATTCTGAGCCGAGCTCTCCTGACCTCAGGCTGGAAACCTCCGTGCTTCATTCTGCAGCAGAATCCACGGAGCGGACGCTGACCGGTCCCAGTAAACCACTTAAAGCCAGTCCTGCAGAACGCTTTGACCCTGAGGCGTGTCGTAAGCACAGAGCGGAGGTCAATGAGGAAGAAAGTCTTTCTAACAATGCTTAGAGATTTATTTCTCATGCTGTTCAGAGCCTGGAAAAGCCTGAGTGTCCCTCCGAACAAACAACAACAAACGGTTGAAGGACAATATCGGCTCTGCAAAGGTTTTCCCAGAGTGCATCTGAAGATCTCTGTAGAGTTTGATCTGCTGGATAATTGATTTCTTAACCCTTAAATGGGCGATCACTTGTAAATATACTGTATATAGGAAAATGTATTGCTATTTTCTTCATTACACTCATATTACCCTGCTATTACACCCATACAACACGTTAACTCAGCCTTGTTACACCAATATTACACCCATTTTATACCAATGTTAGAACAACATCCAACGGAGAAATCCCATTGGACCAGAGAGATGCTGCCTTCAGGGTCCTACACAGGAATAGGAAATCCCCTGCACCACTGAGATGCTCCTTTAGATATTTAGACAGATAGACAGATAGAGAGAGAGAGAGATAGATAGATAGAAAGAGAGAGAGTGCCAAGGCACACAGGGGATAGGATATGAGAGAGAGAGAGATACATAGATAGATATATATATATAGATGAGAGAGAGAGATACATAGATAATAGATAGAGAGAGAGAGAGAGAGAGAGAGAGAGACAGAGAGAGAGAGAGATAGAGAGAGAGAGAGAGAGATACTTTATTGATCCCAATGTTGGAACTTCTTGTTCTTTATATTAACCCTCCATGTCCCCCCCCCCCAGTTATAGCTGGAAGAGCACTGAGTGGACTGAGTGCCGGGTGGACGTTCTGCTGAGTCAGCAGGACCGGAGGAGGGGGAACCAGACCGGCCTGTGTGGGGGGGGCCTCCAGACCAGGGAGGTGTACTGCGTGCAGACCAGCTCTGAGACCCCCCCCAACCTCGCAGCCATCAGGAGCAAAGAGGGTGAGTTTCCCAGCATGCCTTTCTTCTGTTGTCTCTACATGTATCTGATCTAGCGCTCACTTTATCCAACATGTTTTGGTTCTATCTCACATTTCACAGTTTCATCCCACCGGCCATGAGTCTATTAAACACCTGCACCTTTTAAAGGACATCCATAAACATTCCTCTGATTGCATCTTGCTAATTATTTAATCTATATATCATATTCCATTTACTCGTATATAGACTCTTCTTGCACTATTTATATTTTATTTGTATTAACTTGCACTTCTCAAAACATCCTCTTGCCCTATTTGATCAGTTTCATTCTATGCCCTGTGTTCATGTTGCTCTGCTGGAAGAGGGCTTCAGACTTCATCTCCCACACTGAAGCTGCTGAGCTCATGATGATACAGACTTGAATCTTGAAACTTGTATTTTCCACAAGCGACCTGCTCCATGAGTAATAAGTAAACAGAGAGAGAGTGAACGTCCTGCGTCTCCTCTCGGTCTGTCTGATCTTGACGGACAGAATCTCTTGGCACCACCAACAAGTGGAGAGCAGTGAGCTAGAGTCGTAAGAAAAACACCAATCAAATGCAGTGATTTGAATTCATCTCCCATACGTAACCCATTAGATGTCACTCTACGTGTTCTGCTTCACTTTGCCAGAGAACATACCCCCCCTCTCTGGCTCTGAGTGATGCCATCTGGGAGGTTTTCTATCGGTCATCAGGTCGCAACGCACATACTCCATCTTCCTTTAGTGACATTATATTAGGGTGGTTTACTAACTGCTTTTATTCCTGGAGGATTTTTTCTACAACTTTCTTGACTTAAAGTTGTTTTTATCAATGACACAGCTTTATGAAGCATTGGTACATCATTAAGTAACAATGAAGTTCCTTTAGGGTTAGGGTTGCCTTTTAGTAAACGCTGCATGTCTCCTCAAGCTGCTGAATGTTCTCTAAACGCTGCATGTCTCCTCAAGCTGCTGTTCTCTAAACGCTGCATGTCTCCTCAAGCTGCTGAATGTTCTCTAAACGCTGCTGAACG